ACTCTAGCAAGTATCATAAAATAATTTGAGCAAAGATGCTTCATCTCCCACAATTATTACAGAAAACTTCCTATAATCAATAAAGATTTTCCATCTGGCTTTATAACCTTGACTGGGAAAACTCAGCTCTGCTTTGCCTAAGGATCTGTTCTTCCTTTCTTTGGGGAAACAAGGTGTAACAGAGGGAGTGAACTCTGTGCCAGAGTTGGCAGGCTGGGATGTGTCCATAGGTCCTGTGACAATTTAATGCCAGGCTGGGTAAGCAGGTGTTCAGGTTAACTCACAGTGCTGATCTTGTTCCCCGCTTATCACCTGTTAATCTGAAGCCTATTTCCAGAAGCTCTTCAGTTAAGCAATTACAGGGTGGTGTGCCATACTTGGGAAGGGCAGGAGGCGTATGTGGGTACATCTCTGGTACACAAATCCCTTTCCCCAGTGTGGTAACACAGTCCAGCCAGGTGAGGGCCTCACGGCTCCCCTGGGAGCGATCCAAGCCCCAAGTAACTGCAAGTTGGTCTCTGTAAAGATTGGGAAGTTTTTTCCCCAAGCACGTGTCAAAGACTCTGACATCTGAAAATCGGTTTTGCACCACATGAAGTCTGCTGGGATGCAGACTTTGAGTCTCTAGTTGTCCAAGGATGAAGTGCAGTCCTGCTTCAAGTGACACCAGCACACAAGCTGACTTGGGGATAGTGTGATTTACAGTCAGGGTTGAGGCTGGGAGTGACAAAAGGTTTCAGCTGAGGGTGGGCTGTGAAGGGGCTGCCAGGTGGGGTTAGGACCATCTTTGCAGTTTGGTTAGGCACAAAGAAAATATGGTGAGTGCCCAGCTCAGTACAAGTTGTCCAATGTAGCTGTTACCAAGTGCCACTAACTTCCTCAGCCTTGAGGCACAGCACAGGCACTCCTCAATTTTGGAAGGCCAGTCCATACGCAGTCAGTGTTTGTCATTCTTGTCACTGGAGATCTGCCTAGTTTGGCTCAGGACTCGTGCATGGACCCAGTCAGAAAGGAGAGGACATCATTTGTTGCGCTCGTAGTCCCTGAGGTGCTTTTGATACACTCTAGTTACAAACTCAATGCCTGAAACAACTCCAACACAGAGACTCTGACCCAATACATTATTACGTATTTCTTACTCTAACTACATCTAAATCACAACAGGTTAAATCAAGTTGGGTTTCTCATTTCTAGATCTAAATGAATTAAAATATATTAGCTGACTGTAGCAACAGGAAGCAGGGGCACCTAGTTCAAACACTTGATTAAATGTCCTAACCAGCTGTTCTACAGCTGGTTTTTCATACCCTGGTAGAAAATGGGGGATCTGCAGCAGAGTTCAGACCAAAGCAAATTCAGATTTTGCATTACTGTAAAAGTCAACATTTGTTTTTATAAACCTGTTTGTTTAACTGAGCACCATATTGTACATAAGAACCTGTCCAGATGCAGTGGTATCACAAAGCAAAATAGTGTGTGAAATAAAAGTAGAGGAGGGGATCTATTCCAAAAGTATGGCACACATGGCCAGACTTACCTTCCTGTGTTTCATGGCTTAGTCCAGACCAATAACCAGAAACCTTCACAAGACCCTTGTCTGATTTACTGTGTCAGAACAGCTCCGGGTGTAAAAATGCTGCCTTGTTCCCCATTACCTGTACAAAACCCCCACACAATTTGTAAACACTGAAGAGAAGTGGTAATGTTGAATCAGACCTTGGTGTTAATTGCAGCTGTACCTGGGGAGCAGCGTGATGTCCTCCCTGCCTGCCTCCTGAGGGGAAATATTTCTGGTCAGTTCTTACAGCTCTCCTTGGGCTGTGCTCTGTGTTTGTGCTATTTCACCTGCCAACTGGCATACAGATGCTAATTCTGACTCCCTAGACTATTGCAATGAATATTGATAACTGCACACTAACAACGTGTATGACAAAGTGATCAGCTTGGGAGCAGCACTGACTGGTCAGCCTAAATCAAACTGGACTCAGCTTTTGCTGATGTTCTAAAGAGCCCCACAGGTCCATGGGCCACTGCTACCTCCAGGCATTTGAAAGTATAAAAGGACGGACTTGTTTAAAAGGCTGCAGGGCTGGGCTCCAAGGGATGGAGGAGGAAGCATTGTAGCTCTCTCCACTGAAGAGTTCTTATGAACCTAGCTGGCCACAGTGTGCTGGTATTTTGGGTCGATTTCAAGGCACAGGTGGCCAGTCTCCTTGTCAGCCAGAAAATTGCTGCCCTATCCCTGCAGCTAGGGCCGTAACTCCTGTAATCCCAGCAGGATCAGACAACCACCAACAAACCACTGGTGAGATGACACCTCCCACAACCTCTCTGATGCTGCCAGTCTTGGTGTGGGTCTTGGCAGCTCCTGAGTGCTCATTGCTCCCCAAACTGCTACCTCTCCAGCAGCTCCCTGTGACTCCCAGAGACACAGCTTGGAGTGACCCAAGGACCGCTGAAGGGGACGGTGGAGTGGATGAGCTGGCACTCCACTGGTCTTTTACAAGGTGAGTCCTTGGGGTGGGATGCTCTCCACTGCATGACTCAGCACACGAGGCAGCCCAGCCAGCCCAGCCAGGGCAGACTGGTACACACTGAGCCATCCCAACTATCCAGCACCACTCGCCACCTGCCCCAGCCACTGACAAGTGTTTCATATGATCCCATGCACAGCCATGCTGTGTCAACACCTCGTAAGCCTGGGATTTACAGCTCCTGGGCGAGGGGCCGAGACAAAAGTGGTGTTAGAAGGTGTTTGTCCACCTGTCCCTGCCAGCAAAGGGGCTGATACACCAGGACGTGGCTCCTGTGGAGGAAATCATGACATACGAGATGTTCGGCCCTCCCACAGGAGAATCACAGTTAAAAGGAAAATCCACCCTGTCCATGCTGTCCTCGGGGCAGCCCAGCCTGGTGGCCAAAATGCTGTGTTGGAGGGACTGCACTCAGTTTGTTGCCTTGCCACTGGATGGCTCCAATCCCTTTTCTTTGCCTCAGTTTCCCTGCAAGAAGAAAGCCCTTAATCCCTGTGTAGTGCGCTCCTGTGGCAGGCACCAGTAGCAGCTGAACCCCCCGATGTGCATCCCCAGATAAAGCTGCTCCCAGGGAACTGCCAGGAGGGGGAAGTTAAAGCCCCAGGGGCCCAGTGCCATAAGGGCTGCCAGCCTGTGCTCCCTGGCATTGGATTGTAGGTAAAACCCATTGTGGGCTCTGTCCTGCATCTCCCATGTGCCAGAGCTAAAAAAAAAAGCTGTGCAACACAAGTTTGTTTCCCAAGTCCCCAGGGCATTAACTATTGTGGGTAGCTACAACCCATTTCACTCAGTGCCAGTCCTGCACCCCAAGCCCAGTGCACAATGCTGTAGGTCTAAGAACTTAGGAGTCCCCCGGCTCAGCTCCTTTGCAGCCTGGCACAACAGCCCAGCTCAGCACCTTGGTCACCCATCACCATGTGCAGGAAGAAATGATGCACTTACCTCCTCCTGCTAATGGCCCAGCCACACATCCCCTGCGGAGGAAAGGACAGGAAGGGATGCCCCATGCTCAGCAACCAGCAGCATAAGAACAGCCCTTGAAATCCAGGAGAGCTTAGCAGCAGGAGGCAATAACAGCCAAGAGCTCTCAATTAATTAGCTGCACTTCTGCAGCAGGAGAGGGCTCCCTGGTAAAGCTGCCCCACGGCAGAGCCCCCTGCCAGGCTGCTGCCTGCACCCTCAGCACTGCCCAGCTCATGGCATTGCTCCACATCTCACAGGGCAACTTTCAGCTGGTTTTGTTTCCCCAGAAGACAGTGGGGGGATCTCACACTGCAGCAGCCCAGGGCCAGCTGAAAAACATCAGCAAGGGCTGTTGGCTCAATACCATCTCCCATCAGGAATGCACATGCCCATTTATAGGGACCCTGGCAAGCCAACACCTGCAGCAGGATGGTGCTCCGCTCTCACGCCTGGTTGCCCTTAGATTTCAGCAAGAAAAACAACTCTCACCCTATGCAATACAAGGTCTTGCTTAGCTGCCTTGGGCAGTAGTTAAGATTAGTTTCAGTGATTGAGATCAACTGCTTTGAGCAGGCCTGGGCAGCCAGAAAGGAGCCAAGGTGTGGGGGAAGCGAGGAACCTCGCTGATCTGAAGGGCAGAAGACCAGGAGAGCATCCCCTCACCACTCCACATCCCCTAGCAGAAACCAGGCAGTTTCACTGGGGTGGCTCACAGACCCACAGAGGTATCTGTGTAAAGGCCAAGCCACCCACATTACTCAGTCTTGCAGTGTTTTCTGCAAACTGCCCTGGCAGCATGAAGGAATTTTTCCCTTCCTCTGGAATTTGGAAGCTTAACTTCCAGGGGTAAGGGATGAACCTGGAGATGCAGCTCCCTGCCTGGTAAGCAGAGCTGGCACAGAAGCTGTCTCAGTTCAGCTGTTCCATTCCCATAGCACACCACTCACCTCCTGTGAGGGCAAGGCTAGCCAGGGGCTCTACAGAACAGCAGCAATTACCTGCACTTGTGTTCTCTGGCTGGGTTTTAACATATCCAAGTAGGCAGCTCAGTTTCTAAGCCAGAGAACATGAGGCCAGCTCTGCTCCTCCAGACAGCATTTCTCCAGCCTCTCAGGCATTCAGTGCCATAGGGAGTGTTGTGCTTTGCAGATGGTTTAGGCACTTGGCACTTTCAAAACCAGGTTTCAGCAGCTTCAGGGGTAGACAGGCCAGAGGCAGGACTGTGGCACACAGTTAGTGCATCATCTCTGGTTACCGGTGTCTCAGGGAGATCAGCTGGGTGAGTCCTTCAGAGCTGCCAGTCCCCATTTCAGCCACACCACTGGCCTCCCTCTGGGGAGCAAACAGCTTCCTCTGCAGCCTGCGCTGTGTTTACCTGCAGTACTTCGCAGGTAGCAAGGCTTGCGGGATGCAGATGGTTCATCCTCCTCCTTCTCTACAGTCACCGAGACCCCCACCCCCCTCGTGCTGCAGCTGCTGCAAGAACAAACATGAGATGAGGAATATTGGTTTCGGATTTTTATTTCTTTGTACTCTTTAAGCAGGAGTGACTGAAATAGAAACCATCATGAGTCCCATCAAGGGGAATAAAGACAGAGCAGGCTGTTGCCCCTGCCCCATGCCAACCTGTATAAACATCAGCAGTCACTGTTTAGTAACTAGATGGTTTTCAAACAAGTCCATGAACTGTCATAGACTACACAGAACAACATGCCAGTTCACAACAGGAAACAACTTATGTGTACTTCTTGATTTCATCATACAAGACTAAGACAAAAGCACCACCCATTCCTCGGAGTACATTCGACCATGCACCTTTGAAAAACGCCTTGGAGCCCTCATCCCGGGCAATCTTCCTCCAGCAGTCAAGAGTGCCAGTGTACATTATGTCAGCTGCAGAAGACAGACAGCTTTAGCAACTGGATGCCCAAGACCCCCAATATCCAGGTCAGAAATGGCCTGATGTATCTGCCAGCTTCATAACCTCAAGTGCATCCCCCCATTTCTTGACTGACTTTCTCCAGTATTAGTGCACTGGAGGATAAGACTGCCCAGCAGATATGCTGCTGCCGCCTTACCCCTGGGAGACACTGGAAGGACTGGTTTGAGCAGAAGGCAGCAACTGTTTGCTTTGACACCAACACTTCCAGACCCAAAAGCTATTGCACAGGTAGCCAAGCTGTGCCTGCTATGAGGGTTGTCTGTTCTTGCCCCAGAGACACCAGTTTGCAACATCCTTGGGGAAGTTCTGCTGTTCTTCCCTACTGGCAGATAAAGGGGTTTGTGCAAGCCCCTTTATAGGTGTGCTGTGCAGGCCAACCCACCCATGCCCCTGCCTGTCGCCTGCTTCTGCAGTCCCTCCCACACCCTTCTTACAGGACATGAGGATATCTACTCGGGTTGGTGAAAGCTAAGCCACCCTCACCTCAGCTACAACACCAACTGTTGATTCAGGGATGCCCTATATTTCTTATACAATGAAGGGGAAACTTACCTCCTTTACGGCCAGACTGCATCATCATGCGACGACGAACCGTGTCAAAGGGGTAGGAAACCAAACCTGCGACAGCAGTGACGGTCTGAGCAATCATCCAGCTGACAACGATGTGGGTGTTCTTTGGGTCTGGGAGCATGCCTGCAGGAGAGAGGCTTTGATGAGCACGGCAGGTGAGCCACGAGTGCTGCTGAAACGCACTGCAGGCCTGCTGCAGAACAGCGTCTCCCTTTCAGTGCCATTTTGGTTAACCTACCCTTGGCGGTGTCGTAGATGCCAAAGTAGGCAGCTCTGTAGATGATAATGCCCTGGACAGAGACACTGAAGCCCTGGTACAGGCCCCTGAGGCCATCCGAGCGGAAGATTTTGACCAGGCAGTCACCGAGCCCGCTGAACTCCCGGTCGGCCCCGGCTTTACCCACATCCGCTGCCAGGCGGGTTCGGGCAAAGTCAAGGGGGTACACGAAGCAGAGGGAGGTCGCGCCGGCGGCACCTCCGGACGCCAGGTTACCGGCGAAGTACCGCCAGAACTGGGTCCGCTTGTCCACGCCGCCCAGGAAGATCTGCTTGTACTTATCCTTGAAGGCGAAGTTGAGGGCCTGGGTGGGGAAGTACCGGATCACATTGGCCAGGTTGCCGCGCCAGAAGGAGAGGACGCCCTGCTCCCGCGGGATGCGCACCACGCAGTCGATGATGCCCTTGTAGTGCTTGTCGGCCGAGATCTGCTTGCTGGCGTGTTGCACCTGCGGGGAGCCCACACGCCGCCGTCAGAGCCGCCACCCCGCGACCCCCCGGCCCGCCGCCGCCCCCCCTCTCCTTGCGGCGACCTTGCGGCGGCCCCCAACGCTCACCTGCAGCAGCAGCTTGACCCTCTCGATGGGCGCGACGGCGGTCTTGGAGATGGCGGCCGCCACCCCGCCGGCGAGGAAATCCTTGGCGAAGGACACGGCCGCATCGGTCATGGCGGGAGCGGCGGGAGCGGGAGGCGATGCCGGGCGAGGGAGGCGGGAGGCGGCGCTGAGGAGGGGGGGGCGCCGCAATGGCCGCTTATATAGGGGCGGTGGCGCGCGCGTGGGCGGGGCGCGCGCCCCGCTCGCCCGTTGGCTGCGGGAGGGGGCGGGGCCGCCGCGGCAACGGGCGGGGGGAGCGGGATGGGGGGACCGGGATCGGGATCGGGGGGGACCGGGACGGGGCACCCCGGGATGGGGGAGCCCCACATGGGGCACTCCACCGGCACCGCGGGCGGACAGGGTTATATCTATATATGGCCCCGGCCCGGCCACACGGCTCATCCCCATCCTAGCCATGAACAGGCCCACATCCGACTGCCCCGACTCCCTGAACCTCAGCCGAGACACTCGTTCAGAGACCTCTCAGGATACTGTCCCCCCTGCACACATGATGCTCCAGGAGTCACCGAGCTCCAAGTAGTGTATGGATTCCCTCCGAGTATTGCATGGATTCCCTCCGTCAATCACTGCGGAGCTCAGTTGGGGCGCTCAGACACACCCCCCACCAGGTACCACCCACCACCTCCATCGCACCGCTGCATCCAAATTGTCACTCGAGTGACACTTCACCTACCCAAGAGTTCAGCCTTGCTATTCACTGGTTGTTCATGATCACACACCATTTCACATGTTAGTGATCCACTGCTGAAGCGCTTTCTTTTGGAGCTGTCTCAAGTATTAGTGCTGCCTTTTGGGGTGTTTATCATGCACAGATGTGATTACAAAGGAGAGGCTTGGTTGATAAAAGGTTAGTAAGTGATTTATAGGTCATAGGAGTGCATTACAATAGAAAGGTGGTATTAGCACATCAGAAACAAGTTAGAGGTAACTTTTTGACTCACTTGACTCTTATGAGGTTTGAAGAGCTGATCAGACATTCATATGCACCCATCGTTCAATCTTTAAATCTATTTAGAAATACAGTATTAGTAAAAAACATACAGGTATGCTTGGAAAAGGTAAGAAATCCATTCCTTCCCAAAACGCTTACAAGTCATATCTTATTCATACATCTCCAATAAGTCCCAGCATTATTACCTGCACTGTGTTGATGGGGAAACTGAGGCACAGAGAAACATGTTCACTAGACAGCTTGATTAGAGCCAAAGCACTTACAGCCTCAGTGTGATTCATGAGCCACCAGATCTGCTCTCTACCATCCTCAGCTGTAGGATACATCAACAATGAGTTTTAGGTGCAGGGCAGGCCTTATAGTTATCTCAAATCTCTCTGCAAGTTTCTCTCCATGGTCACAGACTGTTCCTGTATGGATCTGCCAATGCCTCATCCCGCTGTGACTTGTCCTAACCAAGCAGTTTCTGAGATTTACTTATTTCCACCCATCAGGGGTTATAAACAGTGCAAAAATGCCCACAAGGAGCTGCGTAGAGCAAACCCTGTGCTGAGCCCAGGCTGCTGCAGCTTGGGCTGGAGCAGAGCTGATGTGCACACACTTTCTCAAGGTGCTGTGATTCCCACCCTGCCAAAGCCTGAGCCTGTGGGACACGCCGCAGGGGGCACAGCCACCTTCCCACGGGGACACGGGGTTTGGGTTTTCTATCAGAAGGCACTGGGATGGGGCTGTTCCATAGCTGAACTTCTACAAAGGAACTGGAGCAATATCACAGGTCCTCAGATGATCTTTTATTGTCCAAAACCTCCCAAGGTTGGTCAGATTCCCATCAATTGCATTGGCACTGGCAGTAACCTCATGGTCTTGCAGAGAGGCTCCTACACACAGGATCTGTCTGCAGCTCCTGGATCACAGCAGTTAAAGTGGAGCAATCACAGGTGGTGTGCACGGTGCTATTCTGCTGGCACATTCCGGGCAGCACAGCAGGCCTAGGTCTGTGCAGTGGAACTAAAAAGTGGTCTAATATAAAAATAGAGCTTTAAGAATACCAAAACAACATGACAAGGCTCGTGGCTCTGAAATACCTAACACACCTAAGAACTGCATTTTTCAGGAAATATTTCAGTTAGAGAACTTCAGGAAAACTATTTTTCAAACTGAAATAATTCACATAGGTGCAGTAGCAACACACAAGAAAGGGAGGAAGATTTCCTAGTATGCACTTAAGTTTGCAAGATTGTCATTCCAGTGTATTGCAGTCCATTTTGCACATTACAGTTCTCTCTTAGCAAAAGTATAGTTGCAGCAGCATGTTTTCATCTTTGTGCTGGAGTTTCACACACAATTATTCTCGAGTAAGTCTCAAAAACTGAGGTGTGGATTTGGGAGTGTAACTGAACTGAGACTAATTCTGGCTTGGCAGAATGCCATGTCCACACAGTATCACTAAAAAACCTGGAGACTTCAGTAGAAATTCTTGCATGTTGCATGGATTCTAGTTTGTTTTATCATGTTTGGCTGACTTGGTATCTCAGATTGCTTAAAAAAAAAATTTGAATTTTCTTAATGGCTTTGAAGATACAATTTATAATCTCATCTCTGTTCTCTCGCCTTTCTGCAATTGGTTTAATCTCAAGTGGCTACTCAGTATTAAAAAATACCTAAAATAATGCCATTTCAAGTTCCAACAGTAGAGAGTTTTCAAATTGGTTGCAAGTCTCCTCTTCAGTATGTGGTTGCTATTTATATTGTTTATATCCATTCAGCAAATGAAATACAAGGTTTATTCTTTTCTGTCACAGGTGTCTCAGTACTAAAACCATGCAATCTGCTGAAACGCCAGTACCTGTAGCTCAGTATGTCTTTCTTGCAAAGTTCCTTAAGAAAAGTAGTTGGTATATCTGCAGTGGACACTCTGAAGTCAGTTTTCAAGAGCCGATTTCCTCGGCTCAAAATTTTCCCTTCGGAAGCGCTTTAATTCTCTCAGTTCTTGTGGCTGTAAGCTCTGGTCCACACCAGGAGTCAGCTTGTAATTTAAAGGAGATTCAATATAACCATTTCTGTACAGACAGACCCGCTTGCAGAATTCAAAGGTGCTAAACATAACACCAAAGTACGGGACAATCTGATAAAATAATAATAAAAAAAGCAATATTAGACTCACCAGTAGCATTCATAGCTTAGATGTTTTAAAAAAGGAAACTTGTAGAACTTCAAATCTGATCTGCTAATAGACCTGTCCTCATTTATATAAAATCAGTCTCACTTCAAACTAGGCTGGCACCTGCAGCATGCTAGAAGTAGGAGTTTATTATTGGTATATAACTAATTATAACAATATTGTGAGGAACAAGGTCTATGCTAGACTATAGATTATTACAACTTGTCAAATACCTAAGCCCCTGAGCATATCTTGGTAGGAAATGTGAAATTCATTCTACACACAGCAGTGACTGAACAATTCCTTCTTTTTCCCATGCAGAACCAGCAGCTCTGGTGCTGTGTGGCTTTGTACCAGTCAAGGTAGGGCAGGCACAGGCAGCCCATCACAATCAATCACATTGTCACTCAATTAGCACTCATTAGCTGACCTGTATTACTCCATGTAGGTAATCCTCATCACAGCACTATAAAACGTATTTATGTACACTAAATTACCTTCTGTTTAAGTTACTGTGCTTTATTTCATGCTTTCAACTCAGCAAGGGCTGTAGTAACCAATACACGTGTATTAAATAACTGGCTGAAAGTGCTGCTTTGGACTTCTGGGGAAGTGGCTTACACAAACACAATTTTCTTTACAGCTCAGTACAACATATCAAATTACTGGAGCTCAGCTGAGGAGGAAAACTCGTTTAGCTGTTCTAAGTGGATCACTTGCAATCCCCCATCCATTTCCTACCTTGTGTGTTAGCAGCACTCCCTTGGCTAAGAACATTCAAATGAGCTTGAAAGTAATGACATCTAGAAGCCAACCTTACATTTGGAGAAATACAATACAAACAAGTTCCAAGGCTGGTTTCTAACCTGTTCTGTCACAGATCAGCTGTCTATAAGCTGCTACTAAGTACAGAGGAATGCCACAAACTTTATAACCCCAACTGTCCAAAACTGTCTTGATTACTTCAGGATAGTATTGGATTGGGATGAAAGTAAACCCTTACCTTGAGCAGACTGGGTGTGAGTCCATTCCAAAGTCCAAGCACACCTTTGTTCTTCACAGTTTGCCGGAAACAGTCAGCCATGCCAGTAAAATGGACATCAACTCCTCCATAGTGGGGAAGCCAAGGACTCTGGGCCTGCCAAGAGACACCCAGGAGGATTTAGAACAAGCAGAGGAAAACCAAAGTAATTAATTATTTTCTCTATTCTGGTACATAAGGAACACTCAATGCCAGGTTTCAACAGACTGATCTGGATTCTTCCCAAAAGAATCAGCTATTTTCCATTAAAATATAAAATAAAAAGGGAGGCAATTCACTCTCTGATAGGTATGAAAGAGAACAGTAATTTCACACAGCACTTCCTTTTGTGTCATGAGATAAATCCCACCCCTGTGAAGACAAACCATCCTAACCAGAGCCACATATCCCATCAGACCCACGTCTGCCAGCTGCTCAGGTCTGAGGAGAGGTATTTCACATCCCTGGCAGTGGAGCACCTATGAGAGGGAAGCCTGGGGCTGGTCCCTGATGCCACTCTGCCTTCCTGTAACTGATGGAACCAGGTGACCCACCTCTGGCTGCCTAGGCTGTGTCTGCACTGTAATGAGAAGGGTGAACTGTACTATGGGCTCAGCAGCAGCAGCAGCAGCAACAGAAGGACAGAGATTTCAGCCCAGGCTGTACAAGCCCACCAAGGGCTGCAGAGCAGCAGCTGGTGCCCACGCTCTGTATCAACATGTTCAGTTCATACAGACTGGTAACAGTCAGCTTGGGAGCATCCTGCTGGGCTGCAGCTACATTTCCAGCTGCAGTACAGACCGTGTCTGTTCACATGGAAGAAGTGTAGTTGGTCATTTTTAACAGCTAAATCCTTTCTTCATTAATCTCCTACTGCGTTAGCACAGACAGGATAACCTGACCTTCAAAAATCCCCTCCTCATCCATCTGTGCACATGCAGCCATGGGTTTATTTTGCATTGGCAAATCAGGGTTTCACTCAAACACACGGCAAA